TATAGGTACTATACTATTTCTAGCACAGTTAAATACCCTTGACGTTATGTAAAAATTATCGACGTATTAGAAATATTTTTTTACGTGGTTGAGCTACGCTGCAGTTGTATTACGTCTGTTGAACTGGTCGGCTCGACCAGAAAAGGACCAAACTCTTAGAACATCAGGGTTAAAATAGATGAAAACGCAGCAATTTGATTCGTAATGATGAATAGATGTAGGTATCTATGGACCACAGCGTTCACTTACTTTACAACAAACTGTGTTCATTATTCATCTGTCATCTCTTCTCACTTTTCCCGCTCTTTCGTTTTTTCTTCTTTCTTTTGTTTAAAAAAACGTTACCTCCACATTAAGATTTTCTTCTTCGAAATATTTTATTTTCTCAGACACGAGGTTCAGGTTAGCTTTCGGGAAAGATGTTTTCTTCATCATCAAGCACAGTATAATTCAGCATTCAAAATTGCAAGTAAACTCTCATAAGAGTCGGTGCTTCGGACTTTGGACGGGATGGACTGCGCTGAGACGTTTATGATTTAAAATGCACTTTATTCCATTGGAAAAATTACCTGAACTATGTTCAGCTGTGGATATCTTCGCGACCGATTTCCAATTCGAAAAGAACCCAAATCGCAGCTCTCTCGGTAGTTCACTAAATAATTTTTGAGCTTCCTAACAAAAACTATAGAAACAAGTATAATATTAATGAAAGCATGTCAAAATTATCTGAAACTCACCATAATTTTCTAAGGAAAACGGCAATGCCCAACACGGCGATGTAAGAAATATTGTAATGAATGCCTATGAAACATAAAAATATAAACTATTTAATTTGGGGCTGATTTTACAATCGTCAGGTAAAAGTTTTTCTTAGGATAATACAACATAAACAAATTAAGAGTTACAATTGTACGAATAAAATAGTTCAATTGTTTCACTTTTATATTCAGTCAGATTATATAATTCATTCTATGGATAGCTATAACTGAAGATAGAAAAATCAGCTCTTAAAATTAATGAATTGAGTTCTGTCGTCATAAAAGAGCGCATTTGTAGTATGGTGTCAGAAAATGACGAAGTCTGTCCCCAGCATCACGACGTACCAATTTTCATAAGTTCATGAATTACATTACCTATATAATGATCAAATTCAGGGGCACGTTCAAGTTCTGTTTTATAGTATGGGAACGTATGGGCTTGTACTATTATTTATTCTGTGGTATCGGTTAGGTATCTAATCTCGCAACTTAGATATATATTGATCACAGTGCCACCTATTGGGGCCAATTGTGAATTTAAACCATTTTCGAATTAACTTAATCACACATACAAAATTTCATTAAAATCGGTTCAGGCGTTTAGGAGTTCAGTCACATACACACGGACAGAAGAGTTATATATAATATTAAGATAACATAAGTCATTCGGTTCGATATAGTTATATATTAATTATATTATAAAATATATTACTTAATAACTTGGCTACAGCTCCATTGTTCGAATCTTAGCACAGCTATGAACCAAATCGTCTCGACAAAACAAATTTAATATTACCTTTTTCGGTCAAGTCCTTCAGAAGTTACAGGAGCACCAACTATCAACTATTATAATATGTATCTCATCTATACAAATAAATAAAATTGAAGTGTCTGTTTGTAATTTTAAAATAACACCTTTTCACTATATGTACATGAATGTATATACGGTACTTATAACATAAACACAATTTTTAAAATTATTGTCTGTCTGTCTGTCGGTTTGTCTGTCTGTCTGTTTGTTCCGGCTAATCTCCGAAACGACTGGACCGATTTCGACGGGACTTTCACTGGCAGATGTTCTAAGGAGTAACTTTGGCCACTTATATTTGAGAAAAAGAATTAGGGTGTAATTTAGGGTTTTAATATAATTAAAACCCTAAATTACACGCGGGCGAAGTCGCGGGGAACAGCTAGTATAAAATAAAAATATTAAAAAGGAAAAAAAATCAACTCACCATTATAGCAAATAGAGCGATAGTTGACTTCATGTTGCTACAGAATAATCTCAAATACGACAAAAATATATGCGCAGTCGTACCTTAAATAGTCTTTTCAATAATGACCACAACATTATTCAACTAAACTGAAAAATGTATCTGTCATACACTGTCGTCTAGGAATAATTAAAAAAAAATTAAAGGCCGAACAATTTGCTACGTTTAATTATTTTTACACAAGAAAAACACGTTTGTCAGTCCAGCGCGCTCGCATAAATTACAATAATATCACGTTTAGTTTTGTTTGTTCTCCTGTCATTTAACTTGTACAATGTTGTAAATAGTGCTAATTTTTTACGGATACTAGTTAATTATACCTTGTAATCCCTAAATGTGACTAAGAAACAAGACTGTAATTTTCATATTATTTAATTCTATGTTCATAATGATCTCTAAACCACGAAATGCTATTTCATGATCCACAACCCCAAGTCGTTCAGTGGACGTCATAGGAGACGACAGAAGGAAATTGAAACACAAGAAAGGCAGAAGCATCTTCCTGATAACATTTTAAAATTGTAAAAAACTGCGGTTTTTCCTCCAAGCGTGACAACAAAATGAAATAACGTAGCAGTTTTATTGATAACAGCATAAAATACTAATAAACAGCAGTTGCCACAAACGGTTTGACAACCACAGTTTTTTATTATTTAGTCAAGCGTATAAACGATTGCAAATAATCACCATATGAGACAATCTATGGGGGAAGCCTTATTTAGTAGCGAATTTTTGGTAGGCCGTGAGGAGGAAATACAGTATACATGTGTATATCATAAAATCCTCTCATTAGAAGATTGAAGAAAAATGCTTGATCAAATGACACTGTATGACCTAATTCACGGCCGACTCGATAATTCGTATTTACTGGGACTTATTAACTTCTCAACGCCCATATATCGAGCAAGACATACCAAATTGTTCTCCAACTTTCACTTTCATACAAAATATAGCAAAAACTCACCAATAAATCGGATGTGTTGCACGTATAACCAATTTTTTGCAAACATCGATATTTTTACGAAAAAGAGAGAAACCTTTAAAACTGAAGTATGCAAAAAACTTTTTAATAGCTATTTATATTTAAGGTATTGAACAGACACAAACTCTCTCTCTCTCTCTCTCAAACACACACACACACACACACACACATGTTAAATGTACAGTGTTATTTTATTTATTTTGCTTAATACTTTGGTACCGATAAGCGTCGCTCTTTCTTTTTAATGATGTATAGATAACATAGGAAAACCTGTAATAAGGCTTATGTTAAGCTAATTCAATCTGATGTACTCTTTTTTTTAAAGCTGTTGGTTTTCTAAATAAATAAATAAAAAAAAACATTACAATATTTTTCTTGTTACCTTAAATATTTTAAAATATTATATTAATCCTTCCCCATAATAGAGATCTTACTAGAAATTTATATGGCAACTTCCCCCTGATGCATTTACTTTCAATCAACGCTATAGTGAGTTCTCCGTGAATGAAAGGCACACAAATATGAATAGCCAGTATTTGAATACTCGCATGGGTTAGTTATTATAGAATATCATTAGCGGCGCAGCTCTAATCGGGCTAAAACTCTCGTTTCCAGTTAAAACGCACAAACAGGGCGTTGAGTTCTGCATTGCGCAAATCTTTTAGTTAATCCGCCTTTGATATCGGTGCTGTTTACGTAGTTAAATAGTTTCTGGTTTTCTATAAAATAAAATGTTTAATATATAATAGTACTTGTAATTTATTCTTAATATATTATTAAAGCACAAATGTGAGACAAAATACTCGTATATCATTATCGCTAATATAGTCGTTATGTATGATTGCACTATGTGTCTCACCGGGGAACGAAGGCCAGCACATATTTAGACATATTTTTGTTACAAATTGTTCAAGCAAATATTTCTCACGAATACGATGTAAACCACTTGGAACGCGATAGGATATTTAATTAGTGAGTTGAATACAGTCAATATCATTATGACATATTTTATACAAATATAAAATATTTACGAGAATCCTTCTTTTATAAAAAGGTAGAAGCGGTTTTCCTAATATTAGTGATAGCATCTGTAATTTACAGTTTTTAAGAATTTACGCTGAATACGCTCTAACTGTTGATTATATTTCTCATAGAATGGGTTAATGAGTGAAATTAAGTTGAGTGAAAGTAAAATACAGTCCACATTTATGCACAAGCCCCCCTAATTATTGAGTGGGTTCTTTTAGAATGAATGTTTAATCAAAAAATACTCTGAAAATCATGAGCCGCAATAAAACTCTTAATTGCAATTTTAAATTCTGATTTACCACGTACTCTACGGTAAATGAATGCCACATGACTTAAAAATAAAATATATTTAAAGATAACCAATAACACGCACTGCATCAGTGCGACGTACTGATGCTCCAAAACTCTCTATGAAATGGAAGAGAAGTGATTCCATCTAAGTATTTACGGGTGGCAACTCATCTTTATTTTGATTCTTAATCCGTAATAGGTGTAGTGTATATCACCACCATCAGGTAGAATGAGTTGGTTTGTCACACATACTTTTGTAATATCGACCACAGTATCATAAGTTCGCACTTTTAACGCTGCTCCTCGTCGCAGATCTGGGTATTTAACATCTGTCTAATACTATATCTGTTAGAGCCATGGTAGATCAATGGCTTAGAACTGGTCGCAAATTTCTGAATAAACGAGCAACCCTGGTATGATCCCCGCCGGTACTAATGAAATTGTTAATTGCAATTTTTATTGCTAGTTTCACGCGTGCTTAGCGTTGAATTCAAAGACATGTGTATTCCTCCAACACGCGTTGGGGCAGCGGTTGATTTTCTACACACTGAGAGAGTCTATCAACCAGAGCTGCCAGCATTCGGTACCATCATCTTAATATCTTAAAACTGCGTTTTTGTTAGAATTGTTGAGTATAAAAACTTTTAAATTTTTATTTTATTGCAGAACATCAGATCATGAAGATCAACCCGGTCCAGAGTTTGTCTCTGCTGGAGTTTCGCTCTTCGTAGGAGGTGGAGCATGCGGCGGTGGGGTGTTGTATCGACAAAGAACGGCACCGGCACCTCGACCTCCAGCCCATTTGGTCCCCCCAGCCTCGCACGACCGGCTTTGGATGTGGAGATGCTTTAATTATACGTGCGTATTATGAAATATAGTTTATTCGTGTATTTTTAGTATACTTTTAAATGAGTCGCAAAAGATGCATTATATGAGAGAGATATGCCCTAATTATGTCATCGAAAAAGAAATGAATAGAATGCATATTCGCTCTATGAGGTAGTCCATTCATTAAGTTCAGTACTTTATTTAGTCTGAATATGAGAACGCATCAATTTTCTTGAGGAATGAGATACGAATAACACATTTAAGTATTGAATTATTTGAGATTTATGAGTAATATCAGTTAGGAAATAATAAAAAAGGTCTAAAATCAAAGGCTTAACTAGTTCAGAATAATTTTATAGTTCAATTTTCCTTTACATTTTACAGACTTATGATGACTATCAACCATGCCAAATAAAATAGATTATTAATAGATTTTATGATGCTTAATCATATTATAATCAATTATTTTGGTACGTAGTACATTCATACATCCAGCTCGAACGATTGGCCTATCTTTTTCCTGAATTCATAGGATGTAAAGGGATATGTCATCAAAAACATAACTTGTAAAAAAAACCAAGTCACGCAACTTAGTTCTTCTACCGTAAAGAGGTGTGAGATCCATGTAATACCAAGTCGGTTAATTTATTCAGTCCCTACTTAAGGGTCCATCTGTCTCAAGTTATTACGTAATTAACTAACCTAACAAAATCTTATAGTGACCATGTCAATATTAAAAATCTTTTATGTTTTAAATACATAGACTGACTTGGCCATCGCATAAAAACACAACGTATCTCACATGTAATACATATTATATTAAATTGGATTATTTAGTGCGATAACCTATAATATTTTGACAGAACAAAACCAAGTAAAAACAAATTAAAAATAATGATAATTTGTCTAAGACACATTTGGATGATTAACGAATTAGTGACAGATAAGTTTATCATTCAAATTGTAAATATTAAAAATTGTAAATAGTAAAATTAACGTATTATAGTATAAACATTAGTATATTATCCATCCTTTACCTTACTACCCATGTTTAATATGTAACATAGAACTGTATGAATAACGTCAAGAATTAAGCAGATATAATATCAAAATTCTCAGAGATTCATGCAAAAATATTACACTAGCAAACATACTGTTTAAAAAATAATATATTATTTTGTGACATATTATATGTTTTTCTTATTTTATTTGCCAATACTATATTTTTAAAGGCCTCTAAAGTATTATATGTGATATAAAATGCAAATCAAAAGTTCAAAGTTTTTAAATAATGTTCCATATCACCGAGAACAATGATAACCATCAGCAATTTCCAGATTCATTACCTAAAAGTTATAGTAAACCTATTTTAGTATGTCATAAGTCATAACCATGAATACTATACGAACAATCCGGTTTTAGTAATAAAATAAATTATCAATTCATAGCTGCAAACTACGATAGTGCCGGTAATAAATAAATCACGAAGTTAACTCTCATAAATTCAAAATCCGCTGAATCATCTGTCGAGAGACGTAAGTTATGCGCGTGCTGCCAAATGACAAACTGCTTTTGGTAAAAGTCCGTTGTGGTCAGCTGAAATCCCTTTGCATGTTTTTATTTAACAAAATCTGAACTGCAACTTTATTGACAGTGTCAGTCAGAAAAAGTGTCCGAAGAAGAAAATACTCTTGAACTAACTGGTTTGAATCGTGGTAAATTTATGTGGTTTATAAAATACTAAGCGAGCTTTTTACAGTAAAACGAAACGCAACTGTGTCAGATCCGAAAAGCCCGGGAGTAGTCTATGTAATTGAAAGCAATTCGAACAGGCCATTTACTTCCAACGCCGCTTTAACTACATTTTTACTACGTTCTTATACAATCAATAAATTAAGTATCGTTAAGTGTCATTTTATTCTGCTTAAGGTATATTTTTTTTATCTTTATTATGTTTTTTTTTTTCTTGTTTTTGTTTCTTCCGCTAATGATAAATTTTATAATTAATTTATTTGCAATTATAAATGTATGAAAATACAATTTACAAACAAAAAGTAAAGATTTTTTTTGTAACTCCACTGAACCTACCGCTCAGTTCGACTCAGCATCACCGAAGAGCTCCTGTCGCATTCAGGATTAAGGCCATAAGCAAATATTAAGTGTACTATTAAATTAAGTACCTAGAAAATTTGGGGTTCAAATTAAACAAAACATAATATTGACTTGAAGCTTGTTTTGCTTTAAAAAGTGGACGTAGTCTCGGGGAATAGTTAGTACTGAATTTAAAAGTGGCGTCTTAAGTAGAATTTATTTTCAAAAAATGCTATTTGCAGTTTCTTGTAAATAAATTAATTGTATTATATAAAACAAACACAATTTTACAAACAAATGTTCACTGTAAAATTATATTGGTTCGTAACAAATAATATGGTCCTGTTTTACACTAAGAGACTAGTGGTCTATTACAAAGTGAGACAATTGGATTAATGTTTCAAATTATCCGGTGAAATTACGTCCACTATACGGTTTTTCGATAAAGCCATTTCCATTGTCCTGCTTAATTAACATACTATAACTAGTTCGGCTTGAAACAATGCTTACGTTGAATTATTATAATGAGTTTTGTTGAAACTATTGGACATTACCTCATTAAAAGCTTGTGTCGGCTACAGTAAATTAATTTTCATATATGAATATGTGACTTCATTTTGGGACTTTATTTAATGTTCAATTTTATTTGCAATAGTGCAGTATTTTAAATTTAAAATAAAATTTTAGGTAAGCATTATTAAAAAAAACACTTTCAAAGATCTCATCTTAATTTTATATTCTTCGTCAATATCTTTGTACTTGACAATACTTACATCGGTTTTTAATTTTCTTAGGAATCAGCTATCGACAGACGGAGTGACAATCTCGGCACCATCCGAAGCTGGCCGATGGTCGCTATGGGCTCTTTCTTTATCGAACCGCGGACTACGCTTCTCAGCTCCACGTACTATAAATGTCTTCCGTCCTATTCAACTGGATTTCGCGCTTCCTCCTGCTTTAAAAGTTGGCGAGACTGTCGAAGTAGATGTGAAGATCACGAACAACATCAATAATTGTATGGACGTAAGTATTTGTATCTTTCTATATTATTGAACGTGTGCACACAGAGAGAGGGAGAGGGTGCCATTCAGAGTTGTTACTATAGCGTGTATTTGCAGAGTAAGAGAATCCATTACCGCACATCATCCCGTGAGTGTCATAAAAGTCGACAGAGAAATAAATCGAACAGGGGATGGGCAGCAGCGTCTTCCTGATAACAGTTAAAAATAATAAAAGTACTACGGTTGCCAAATCTTTTCTATGTAGTATAGTCATGCTGTAGCACTATTAGTGGTATATGGTTGTAACACGGATGGGTCAACTCGACCGGGGAAGGACCATGCTCTCCCAGAATACCAGCGTAAAATAACACTTTAACGCTGCTGTGTTTCGTACGGTGAGTGAGAACCGGAGACTCTTTTTACTAGAAAAGAGGCATTCCATCTAAGTCCTCACGGGTGATAATGCATTTGCATTTTGATTCTTTATTGAGGATAGATGTAGATATCTATGGGTCACAGCAACCACTTACCATCAGATGGAATGTGTGCTCGGAACTATGGCAAATATCTCCCCTATGAATCTCAAAGGGGTGGCGGGGTAGCCTATATTCAGCAGAACCTCGGTGGAAGGACTCCTTTCTCCCATCTAGGAGTCCGACTGGGTTACCTACCCACCCATTTTCTTAACAATGTTTGATGCCAAATTGCAGTACGTGCACTCTTGTATTTGGACTGAAGGGTACGGAGGGTCAGTATAAGTACAGGCTGTAAGACATTCATCTTAGTCCTCTCAGAGGGGACAACAAATCTGTAGCCCTCTTTGAAGTTGGCTGTGTCCATGAACTATAGTAGGCATTTATCATCACGTGGATTGCAGGTTCGTTTGTCGCTTAAGTTTTATAAAAATGTGAGCTTGTGATAAGCTATAATGGTTATGATGTTGAAACAGAGTTTGATCCCCGCCCTCAGTTGCAATCAAATTGTTAATTTCAAGTTGAAGTATTGATTTACCGTGCTCATGCAGTTTTAGGAAAGCCTTGCAGTTAGGAAAACTGGTTGGGTAATAAATAAAAATTAAAAATATTTAGAATAATATTTGACAGCACTACAAACTTTTCAATGCTAAAAACCTCACCAAGAAGAGCAGGTCTGTACCTAGCAGGAGCACCACCTATCGGAGTGGTAACGATTATATTGGATTGGTAGGTGGATAGATTGCCTCAAAAACGACGCCAGCGAGAGAAGGATAACAAATCAGGGAGTTCGGCAACAGCGTCTTTATAATAACGACTGAAAATTAAAAACTGCGGTTAACCCGCTTGCCAAGCGTGGCAACTATGGCCAAATCCCTCCATGAGGCAATCTATGGGGGAGGCCTATGTTCAGCAACGGACTTTTATAGGCTATAATGGATGCATGGTTAGATTTTGGGTGGATATTTGACGACTCCGTGGCGCAGTGGCTTAGCAATGAGTTGAAGCGCTAAGGGCCACGCGTTCGAATCTCGCAGGGAACAAGTGTTTGTATGGCCTACAAATAATTTTTCCGGGTCTGGATGTTTGTCTTTGTGTTGTCTCACGATACAGAAGAAACTTCTAGAGTAAAGGTAACGTTTTATTAAAAAAAAAAACTTTATTTCCACCACACATAGTCAGTATAGATACATAAAAATGGGATAAATATGTGGATACCTCACTAAAAATAATCAGTTCAAAACCAGCAGTGGAGACCAGTCTGAAACCATGAGTTGTTTTGCTTAATTTCGTAAATTACCTACTTTTCAATGCGACCAAATTCTACGAGAAAAAGGTTATTCACTCGAGCCTTGATGATACTACGGCTGGACATTATCGCAGATTCCAATTCCTAGTTGCTTTTACCGAAGACAACGTTACTAATCTTTTAATAGACATCCGTGAAACTTTAATTTTTTTAAATTATATTAAAGAATCACCTTCAAGTCGCGCCTAAAGAAGTTTTACTTTAATAATAACTTTAAAATGTTTAATATTAAACAGCAGCCCCTATGTGCTTATTTTCCGTTCACACCTTACGGAAGAAATAACAAAGCTTATTCTACAGCCGCACGGTTCGCAAATTAATTTATAGCCAGTAAGGATGCATATAAGAGAAATATGAACGATAACATTTATAAAAGGGGCAGGCTCCTAAATAAATACAATTTATTTCATCCCGTTATTGTTCTGTGAGCCACCGGCGCGTGAACAGACAGAATGTGGTTTTTTTTATATTCAAGTACGGATTGAGCTCATAAATTTTCGTAACTTTACGTCATATACACCAATAAACATTCGGACTGTCCCCTGAAACGTTTTGCGGCCCTCACTAAAGCTCGGTATTAAATTGTTCCATCCATATATAAATGGTAAAATTTTAAATACAAATACATATCCTACTAATAATATAAACATGAAATTTTGTGAGGATGTATGGATGTTTGTTACTATTTCAAGCAAAAACTACTAATTGGATTTTAACAAAACTTTACAGTTGTGTAGTTATCATCAGAAATCACATCAGAATAACATATAGGCTATATAATTCATAAAGATATTGTGTAAATTGACCAAAAAATTTAATGATAAATGTTAAGTAAGTCGGCAAAAACTTATGTGAACTGATCTGGATGCGACTTTCACTGGCAGATAGATGATGTTATAAGGAGTAACTTAGGCTACTTTTATTTTAGGGTTCGGCGCAAAATTATTCCACGCGTGCGAAGTCGCAGGGAACAGCTAGTTAATAATATGAAAAAGAGATTTATTTTGATAGCGGTTCCTAAAAAACCGTATTACACGAAAATTTCTAAATCTGCAGATAATAATGTAAAATTGTATTTTTTTTATGAAACTAAATTGATAAACAGTCCACCTGATGGTAAGTAGCTATAGCAGCACATCGACACCTTTTTTTTTATAGAATAGGTGGCAAACGAGCTTGCGGCTCACCTGATGGTAAGTGACTACCGCCGCCCATGAACAACCGCAACACCAGGGGAATTGCAGATGCGTTGCCGGCCTTTTAGAAAGGTGTAAGCTCTTTTCTTGAAGGTTCCTAAGTCGTATCGGTTCGGAAAATTCGCTGGTGGTAATTGATTCCACAAAGAAGTTGTGCGAGGGAGAAAACTTCTTCTAAATCGCACAGTGGTGGACCGCCAATCATCCAGATGGTACGGATGGTAACGCGAGTTTTGTCGCAACGTGCGATGGTGAAATTGAGCGGCTGGAATTAGTCCGAACAATTCCTCAGAGCACTCCCCGTGATAGATGCGATAAAATACGCAAAGAGATGCAACATCTCTACGCAGTGCCAGTGTATCGAGCTGATCGGAAAGAACTCGGTCGTCGACGATTCGAATCGCTCTGCGCTGGATGCGGTCAAGTGGAAGGAGCTGGCACTGGGGTGCCCCGGCCCAGAGATGAGAACAGTATTCCATGTGGGGCCGAACTTGCGCTTTGTAAAGTTGCAAGCGATGTGCCGGCATGAAATACTGTCTCGCTCTGCTGAGCACGCCAAGCTTTTTAGAGGCCAATTTGGCCTTCCCTTCCAAGTGACCACGAAACTGCACGCTATTCGATATGTCGACGCCAAGGATTCCGATACTGGCTGAGGCAGCAAGAGGAGTGCCTTGAAACTGAGGAGATACGACAAAGGGGTTCTTTTTAGCGGTAAACGCGCAAACGTGTGTCTTCTGGGGATTGAACTGGACTAGATTTAGTCGGCCCCAATCCGAGACTTTGTTAAGCAAAGACTCGACTTCTGACACAAGTTTGTCCCGGTACTCGGCGACGTTTTCCCGAGAAATATTGGCACGGCCGGTAAGGCATCCCCAGTGCTGTCGTCTGCATAGCAATGAATGCTACCAGTTAGCAACATATCATTGATATGCAGGAGAAACAGCGTTGGTGATAGCACGCAGCCTTGTGGAACACCAGCGTTGATAGGCTTGTAATCAGAGCATGCACCGTCTACTACGATCTTGATGCTCCGATCAGCAAGGAAACTGGTGATCCATTTGCACAATTTCTCGGGAAGCCAATAGGAAGGAAGCTTCGAAAGAAGCGCCTTGTGCCAGACCCGATCGAAGGCCTTCGCTATGTCCAAACTAACGGCCAATGCCTCCCCCTTGGACTCTACTGCCTCCGCCCATCTATGAGTTAAGTAAACTAGAAGATCACCCGCTGATCGACCCCGACGAAAACTGTACTGACGGTCACTGATCAGCTGGTGATCCTCAAGGTACCTCATGAGCTGGCAGTTTATAATGGATTCCATTATTTTGGAGAACAAGGAGGTGATAGCGATAGGCCTGTAGTTGGACGGGTCTGAGCGGTCGCCTTTTTTAGGGATCGGGTGGACCAAAGCTGTCTTCCATGAATTCGGGACTACGCCTTGGGAGTAGGAGTACCGGAAAAGACGCGTTAAAACCGGTGCAAACTCCGGAGCACACGTCTTCAGCACAATGGGAGAGACTCCATCCCACTCGACTTGCTGACGTCCAGGGAGAAGAGTGCTTTGCGAACGGAGCGCTGTGTAAATCGCACATCCGGCATGGAGTACTCACATCGCGGGATGGTCGGCGGTGTGTTCCCCCCGTCATCTAGAGTCGAGTTAGACGCAAAAAGAGAGCACAACAGATCGGCTTTCTCTTTTGCGGCATGGGCCAGTGAGTCGTCCTCTCTGTGCAGAGATGGAAGGGATGGCTGACAGAAGTTCCCTTGGACAGCCTTGGCGAGAGACCAGAATGCACGGGTTCCCGAAGGAAGGCGAACTAGCTTCTCGCCAATTCTGCCGATGTGCTCAGACCTTGCCTTGGCAATGACGCTTTTGAAGGACCTGGAGGTGGAATTATACTTCTTTTTAAGTGCGCTGGTGTTTAAATCCCGAGACGTTGATGCATCAGCCCAGGCCCGGTAGCACTCCTGCTTATAGCGTGATGCTATTTTACAGGAGCGACCAAACCATGGCTGGGATCTGCCTCCGATGGGCACCCAGAGGATG